CATATTTATTGTAACACAGGTTCTTGTGTTACTGACTCTGCTGGTATTGCCAATATTTTTAATGATTATTTTACCAGGTAGGGTGTTACTCCTACTAAAATTAAGTGTCAAGATAAGTCTAGCTCAGACTATTTACCTTATACCCGTAACTGTGACTGACGTTCAAGCTGCCATAAAGGCACCCTCTAGTTCTTCTTCAGCTGGATGGGATGAGGTTCTACTATCATTGGTTAAATTTGCTAGTGATCCAATAATTGAACCCTTAACTTTACTTGTAAATAAAATATGTACAATTGGTAAATATTAAAAAATATTTGATTAAAAATGTCTTTCCTCCAGCACTCATCAACAAAAGTATTTTTGAATATATCAATAAGGTTTACAAGCCCAAATATTCCTGACCTCAACATTCCTAAATGTCATAGCACTTGGTTTTAACCTTTCACTGGTTCTCATGGCATCAAACTAAAAAGTAAAATCAAAAGCATTCTGTAATCAACTTATCCACAAGAGTACTCTTGAAAATGAACAAATGGGTATGCAATTTTTCTTCCTGTTTGAAGACAAAATAACTCTTTCAAAAAATTGCTGGTAGTATACAAATATTTGTGTCCTTGCTGCAGGCAAATCTATATTGTGTCAACGACTCGAACTTTAGATACCAGAATCAAGGAACGTGTATAACAGCCCTTTCAATAAGTCTAGAATTTACAACCACCTAAGCAAAGAGTGTAACAAAAAACTGAACAGTGAACACTTCAAAATAATACAGTCAGCGAAAGATGAACAAATCTAAGCTGAACAATTCACTAGCTACATCACTGCATCTCAAACTATGATTAACTCATCATGCCCAGATATGGACAGAATCTATACTGGTACCAATGGACAGAGGAGTTGATGTTTGAAGTCAGGACACTCAATGCCAAGGAAAGTAGACAAGCCAATGATGACAAGGATGAATGCAGATGGGTGAAATTAACCCTTGATTCCAAAGATGATGGAATGCCCACAAGAAACTATAATCAGAAAAGAGGGCACTCGTGTAACTTACAGAGTGTGGCAGCTGGTAGACAAACGCCTTCTAACAACGCATCTCTACTCAACAAATCCCGACAACATACCAGTAAAGAGACTAAGGAAATTGCAGAAACTGACAATCAAACCAAGGTAGATCCTAACAAAGGTCTCAACTTGTCATCAAATTGATGTGATCACCGAGAGGCTTTCAACAAAAGTTTGAGGAATGAAAAATATCTTAGCACTGTGGTTAGGGTCAGATGAATCCCAGAAAATTGTGATATATTCAGGTTGACAACAAACTCTGTTATGGAACCTCAAATTTCAAGGAGAAGGTCTATTCTTTGAGTTTAAATATGTGTTCACCTGGCGGTGGTAGGCTAAAATATGTTGTTCAGACAATCGTGACAGACAATGCATAGCTGTCCCTTCATGTAACTGAGTAGTAAATCTACCTGCATGAATCTTAATATCAAGGAATGAAGGGAGAACTAAGTATTTGCCCTTGGACCTTTCTGCCAAAGGAAGGTGCAGACTCAAAAGCAACCAGGGAAAAAACCCAAAACATAACACACTCCACATTTACCAACTAAAAAAAGGAACCGGAGGAGGCTGATCCCAATTTGACTTCCTGAAAAGCTGACAGAATAAAGGAAGGCACTAGAAAAAACTTATCTAAATTATCTTCAGAATGTCCAGGATCACCTACAAGTGCAGCCTCAGAGCCCCCTGAAGACAAAACCAAATATGTGTCTCCATCTCACTACTAATAATGTCAAAGCACAAGTGCAGCAACTACGGATGTCATGTGATGCAGCATTCAACAACCATAAGGTGGAATGGTGGACAACCTAACTTTACGAGATAATATTCAATGAAAATATTTGTAGTTATCGACTGCTTCATATAGCAGTGTATGCACATTGTTAAGATATTAGATCTTGTTTTACATCGTTTTTGTAATTACCATAGTCATCTTTGCAATGCTTTATGCCAGAATAAGAAGAGTTCTGGATTAAGCAAAACGCATTGTAGTCAGAGGATATGATAAATATAGTGTGGTTGTAGTACTATTATTATGTGCTCTTCTAATTCTTGGAAATCCACAAGGGAATAGATACATTTTTAAACACTACATTCTTTAGTAGGCTTAATACTAATTTCTTATGGCAAGTATAATGGATATTTTTAAATGTCTTTCTATTACAACTCGTCTTGCAAAACCATAGAGGGTACTTGATGCTCTTAAATTTCACCGACTGGCTGAGATACAACAAACACAGCAATGGTTGGAAAACTATATAAGCTATGTGATACAAAAACAGTTATTATGGTGTGTACACCTTTTACAAGCTGGTGAACAATGATTACAAGTATAAGAACAAAGTAATGATTTTAAAGTATAATACACTAGAAACACAGGTACCAACAAATGAATTTAATGTATGCACTCACATTTTGCTATTTGAAATTTTTAAATTTTCAAAACCTAAACAAATAATCTTTATTATCAAATGCAAACCAAATTAAAACAGGCAAGGTTTTTATAGTGTGCTGTAATGAACTGGAGAAAGAATGGGAAATATACTTTTAATAAGTCTCTTTGAACAGTTCTGGTTTGAATCTAAGCTTCAAGCTAAACATCAAAATAAATGTCAAATCAAACTGTGCTAACAAGTGGAATCTAAATGAAATAAAACTAGCCAAAACACACACTCTCTTAGTATGTCCTCTCGTTTAACATGAGAAATGATCAATGTCATTATTTAACATTCTATGTTATGAAAATCTTTTTAATGTGATGTGAAAAACTTAATAGCTCTCTCGACTGATGTTGTAATGCAAAACCAACATAAATTACAAATTTTGTAAAGTTTAATTAATAGCTAAGGAGGTAGAAAAAATAAGTTAGCTTTACATACCACAATACCAAGCAAAAACGTCAAGCCCAGATGATAAAATACTACAAAGCAAAATTACTGTTTTAATAAGCTTTCAAATTAAAATAACAATACTAGTAGATGCCCACTGAAATAATTCAATGGTAAATTCCTAATGATGAATAAATATAAAATTTATATTCAATCCAATCTCTTGGATCAGAGCTTATATGCAATATGATTGTCTATGACAAGGAACAGCAGCATCCAGCAGAAAAATCTCCATGGCTACTTAGCGAACTTTGTATTCTATTATGCTGTATGTACCCATTACATCAAAAAAACAAACATTTTTGCTAGTAATGCATTGCAGTCAGTCAATCTTTGCTTAAAAACAAATGCAGTGCAATTTTCCTTATTGAAGTAGCACATCGAATGACAAGAGGTGGTTGCAAAAGGCTTATTTTACTGAGCACAAGAAAATACTGCTACTGAAGTGAGAGCTTTTTGACAGTTGTCATTTCTATAAGAAATGTCCAAGAGGAGATATTCAATTTAATACAGTTCAACTTATTCAATATGGTTCAATAAAATCATGCATGTATATAAGACCAACATGAAAAACATACATACATATATATATACAAACTGAACAACAACAAATATATACTCAATCACTTTCCTCTCTGTGTTTTTTTTCCCATTCATGTTCCTATCTTCAAAATATTTCTTTCAACCAGTCAAAATGGGAAGTTCCATTTTTTTTGTGAAGTTCCCCTCACAAAAACATTTTTGCTCTTAATTGGTTTTCTCAGATTGGCCATTCATGTACAAAGACTGATGGATAGATATTGATACTGATATAAAGTTTTACGAAATGCAAAAAAAATTAATAGTTTTCCTGTAATGCACTCTTGAAAAAAGGCAATTTGGTACATAATTTTTTCTATTAACAGTTTAGGAGATACAGAGAATGACAGACAGCCATTTGGCTATTTTATATACAGATGTATCATTATGGACAAACATGGTGAAATAAGTAGCAAATGCATAGTTCAGAGTGAAACTTGTAAAGAAACTCTTGGAAGGTTATTCTATAAAGTATACCAGATAGAAAGGGCTATGTTTCTAAAGCCTTCTATCTTCAGGTAAGGTTTTGCTAGTTTTACAGGGGTTTATAAAAGGACATTATCATATTTTCAAAAACACTGGCAAAATTCCAATGTGAATAACAATAAATCTGCTACTTTGGCCCAACTCTTGGCTAACATTAAATTTATTATTATTATTATTACTAGTGTTTGATTACATAAATTTGTGAAAAAAAAGCAAAGATTCACTTCAATTTGAAATACTTCTACTTAATAATTTGAATATCCAAATATAAAAAGTAACTACCTGTTTTTAAGAAAAAGCCACGAAATCAAAAATTTGTTCTCTTGATAATATGATGAAAAGATGTTCAAGTTCCTGTAAATTAGGTGAAATTGTTTTTCCAGATAACACCAAACAAACCAGGAGAAATTAGGAAAGAACTTAATCAATAGCAGTAATAGGTGTGGTTTGTTTTGAATTTTATGCAAAACTACATGAAGGTTGTCTGTGCTAGCCATCCCTAACTTAGCAGAGACAGACTAGACGGAAGGCATCTAGTCAATACCACCTATTGACATCTCTTGGGCTACTCTTTTACCAAGAAATTATGGGATTGACCATCACATTATAACATCTCCACAACTGAAAGGGTGAACATGTTTAATAACAGGGATTTGAACCCACTACCCTCAGCTTGCAAGTCAAGCACCTTTACCACAAGGCCCAATAATATGCTGGCTTTCCTCTAAATATTCTTTGCTTAATAGCTTCATAGATAGTGTAAAAAAACAAAAAACATTTAGTAAAAAAGTAAACATAAGAAAAACTTATGTACAACACCTGCCAACATTAGAAAAAGAAAAGCTGTCTGACAAATATGGAAAGTCAAATTTGTAGCAGTATGGTTGCCTTTCTTTTGAAGTATAGAAGAACAAATTTCTAGTTCTCAATGTTAATATCCTTGATGCTATAAATGAAGCAAAAAACATGATATAAAAAAATCACCTTGATAGCCTTGGCTGTTTCCAACGACTGCTCAGGAGGAATGCCAATTTCTCTTTCTCGAAGAAGACTCTGGATGAAATAGGTAACATTGCGTCCAGCAATAGGAATGTGTTTAATACAGCTTCCAATAACATATCCTTCTGCCTATAAAATTAGCAATAGTTTTGGGTTACAATTAAATATAATCTTTACAGAAAAGATTAATAGGAAATGGAGATAAAATTTAATACTTCACATACATATGTACACAAATAACATTTAGTGTAAGTACAAGTACATATACATTATAATGTACGTTATAATTTGAAGTTTTACATTATCTAAGTTTTAAGTCCATTATTTCAACAGAAACCTTTAAAAACTAATTGAAACTTCAGATCTATTGTCACATGACCCATGAACTATAAAAATCCTCTACTTTGGCACTCCGTATTTTCAATAATACAATTCCAGTTGTGCAGATCTATGTCTAGGCTAGAATGGTAGCTGAAAAATATTTTATTATGCGAGATTTTAATTTCAGGGGTATTGATTGGTAAAATTGAGTCTGACAATGAGGGGGAAGATAGGTTTACAGAAACTGTTCAGGATACTTTTATACATCAACTGGTGATGGAACCTACAAGAGAGGAAGCTATATTAGATTTAATATTAGCATCCAATGTGAATATGATAGACAGAGTTGTGGTTGGTGAGCATTTAAGTACAAGTGACCATTGCACTATTAGGTGTGGGATTTTATTAAATGTAGAATTGAAGAAGAATAGTACCCTGATACCAAATTTCAGGAAAGCCAATTTTGATGGAATGAGACATGATCTGGTTTCTGTAGATTGGATTAAACAGTTGGGAGGGGACTTTGAACAGATGTGGGAAGCATTTTGGGAAAAATTGATATGCATACAGAACATACATATTCCCCACAGAAAAAAAAAAGGCAATGGAGAGGAATAAGCCAGTATGGTTTAGTAAAGGTTTAAGAGATCATATTAGGGATAAACATAATAAATTCAAGAAATTTAAATTACTGGAAATAATAAGGACTTGGAGGACTATAGGAAAGAAAGAGAGTTGGTTAAAAAAGAAGTTAAAAGGGCAAAAAACTATGTATGAAAGAAAAGGTTGGCTGAGAGAGAGTTAAATCAAACAACAATAGTGGGGAGCAGATTTCAGAAGATTATGAGATGGTAAACTTATTAAATTGTGTGTTCTCTTCAGTTTTTACAAAGGAAGATACAAGTACTATGCCTCAATCAGAACACTTAATGTATGGGAAAAATATTGATGTAAAATATATCATTTTCAGTTCTGAAACTGTAAAAAAAAATTTGGGAAACCTCAAAATTGATAAATCCCCTGGATCATACAACTTTTATCCTAGAGTTTTAAAGGAACTTAAAGATTATATTTGTGAACTGCTAGCTAATATTTTTAATTGTCAATGAGTAGTGGAAGAGTATTAGAAGATAGGAAGTTGGATAATGTTAGTCCAATATTTAAAGGAGGTGATAAACATTGTCCAGGCAATTATAGATCAGTTAGTTTTACAGCAGTAGTTGGAAAAGTTTTGGAGAGTGCAATTAAAGAGTGCATTACAGAGTCACTTAAAGCAGTTTGATATAGAATCAAAGTGCCAGCATGGTTTCACTAAGGGCAAGTCTTGTTTAACAAATCTTCTGACATTCTTTGAGGATGTCACTGCAAGAGTTGATGAAGGAAATACTGTGGATTTGGTTTACCTAGATTTTCAGAAAGGGTTTGATAAAGTGCCTCACAAAAAGACTTGTTACAAAAAATAAATCTGTGGGTGTGGGAGAAATGTTATTAAATTGGATAGAAAATTGGCTGGAGAGTAGTAATAAATGGAGTTAGATCTGACTGAATCACAGTTACAAGCAGTGTGACTCAGGGCTCTGTGGTGGGACCTCTGCTGTATGTGATTTATATTAATGATATTGACTCTGGAATGACTAACAAAATTTTGAAGTTTGCAAACGACTAAGATTTTTTGGGGTGGCTAATTGTATCAAAGTGTATTGTAACAGTGTATTGTAACTAGTAATAGGTTAAATACGATTTTAGGCAGCATCTATAGAAATATTGAACACAAGACATGGGATATTATTGTTTCACTGTATAGATCACTTGTAAGGCCTCATTTAGAGTACTGTGTACAGTTTTGGGCTCCCTTCCTCAAGAAGGACATTGAATTGTTGGAGAAAATTCAGAGAAAAGCCACTAGAATTATACTTGGGATAGTGGGATTGTTCTATGAGGAGAGACTGAAATCTCTAAACTCGTATTCTCTGGAGATGAGTCAGAGGGAATTTAATTAAGGAGTTTATGATTATTAATGGTATTGATGATATAGATCCAAACTTTTTTTGTGTTTAGTATTGAAAACAATAGGACAAGGGGTCATAAGTTCAAATTTGGCAGAATAGGAGTCGTCTGCAGTTTAGACAGTATTACATTTCAAACAGGGTGGTTGGCTTTTGGAATCAGTTGTCTCCAAGGGTGGTGGAGGCAGAAAATTTAACTGACTTCAACAAAAAATTGGATGAATACATGAGTAGTAAGGAGTGGTTATAGTTGGAAGGGACATCCTTGATGGGCTAATAAGCTCCATTTTTGTCTCTCTAAAATTTTTTGAATTTATAAGACATTTACATAACCTTTTGATACATACATTTAAAAGTTCTCTGAATGAATGCAGTTGAAACAAGTAATTAATTTTGTCAACCCTGACTAGTGCTATGCCCATCTTCAATAATTTGTTTGAGCTTTATAGCTTAGATGTAGAGGTTACATACACATGCATGTAATAATTACAAAGAGCTTATTTTTACACTATAATCTAAAATGTTATTTTGAAATTAACACACTGTAAATGTAGTATTGTTGGCTGCTTGATCGACTATAGTTCTTATGGTTGTTTCTTACCTAAATATCTTATAATTGGAGATACTGTAAACTGTATTTAAGTCTTACTTTTATATTTTAGCTAATTATGTATTATTTATATTTTAAAATGCATAATTAAAAGGTTTAAACATTTTTAAAATATACATCATACTTTGCGGCCTTTCTCGAGGCTCATGATATAATGCGCTGAACGAAAATTTTGACAAATGGTTGCATATCTCTGCCAGACATACTTTAATGTGCTGCCAGGGCACTGTTGACATGTCTCAAGATGAAGAATAAATTGTAAAGGACATGAAAGGAAAATAAAACATTAAAAATTAACTATATGTGAAATCTCTCAAATTGTTTTCTCTTGAAAAAAGATATGATTGATGTGTTTAAAATTGTAAAGGGAATTGATAGTGTGGATGCATCATCTTTTTTAGTATGACTAGGGAACACAAATATAAATTTTGGCAGAGAAGGAGTCATCTTCAGCTAAGACAATTTTATCTTTCTAACAGGGTGTTTTGGCTTTTGGAATGGGTTGCCTCTGGATGTTGTGTGGGCAGTAAATTTAAATGAGTTTATAAGAAAGCTTGTTAGATTTATATTAATGATAAAAACTGGCTTTAAGATTTTTTTTCAATAATAGTTTTAGTTTAGAGGATGGGTCAGTCAAGATTGGCAAACAGAAGTTTCATGTTGTCCCAAAACATTGTTATTATGAAAAGGAAAAAACAACAAAAAAAACTTGAAATTACAAATATAAACAAAAGAATATCTTTAAAGTTATTCTACAAAATATTAAAAGGTATGTACTTTTTTCTATTTTCTAATTTTAATCATTTGATTGCATTGTAGATTGATGATAACAGCTGGAGTTACTTATGTGCTAGAGGAAATTAACAATAAAATATAAACATCTACCTTAAAAACTTTTGATATTCATTTAGTAGTTAAGGAAAGGAAATATGAAACTAAGATAAATAAAAGTATCTTTATACTTAAAATGAAAATCAACTTGCACTATTCATTGTTTGAGTGCAAATAACTACTATAGATAAATAACATTTTTAATAGAAAGACATGTTTAAAATAATGCCATTCTTTGTGTACAAAATACTTATAAATTTTAACAAAATCTTATGAAGTTACTGTATGTTTTGTACATAAATGTCCTTCCCCAGTCGAGGTGGTGTGAAATGCATCAGCCCATACAGAAAGGGTTCATGGTACAAAACAGGACACTATCCTACCACAAAATCATGAGACACAGGTAGTTATGAATAAAACATGTCTTTATTCCGAGACATTAATACTGTGTTGGCCTGCCTTTGGTTTTAATGACTGCTTCAATGCATTGTGGAAAACTGTCTACTTATTTCTGGTAGAAAGCTGGTGGTATTGTGCTCCACTCCTCCTTTAAAGCATTAGTAAGCTCCACTACATCCTGGCCTTTCCATAATTCTGCATTGCAGTTCATTCCAAAGATGTTCTATTGGGTTGAGGTCGGGGCTCTGTGCTGGCCACTGCAATGTTCCGATGTTATTCTCTTCAAACCACACATTCACGATCCTTGCTTTGTGACATGGAGCATTATCATGTTGGAAGATGTAAGGGCCAGTACCATAAATTGCCACAATATAGAACACAAAATTGTTCAGAACATCAATGTAAGACTCAGCAATCACAGATCCATGTACTGTGACCAGTGGATCTAGTCCATACCACGAGAAGCACCCCCAGACCATAATACTGCTACCTCCAAACTTCACTGTTGGGACAACACACTCAAGTAATAAGCATTCTCCAGGCATCCTATATTCCTAAACACATCCATCAGACTGGAAGAGCGTGTTGTGGTCTGAGCTTGGTGTGCCTTGCCCAATGCCAAATGATGGTGTGCATTTGTTTTGTTATTAACAGCTTGTGGGCTGCAGCTCTTCCATGAACGTTAATGCATGCAGCTCTCGGCGTGTCATGGAAACACTTATATGATTGCTTGTGGCTGCTTGCATCTCCAAACACAGATTCTCTAGGGTCTGATGGCAAGTTGAGGTAACCAGCCTTCTCTAGGCGTGTCGGCTCCTGGTCTCATTGTCACCTGTGGACTTCCATTTCTTCAGCACATTGCCAATTCTATCCTGGTGCATCAAAAATAATGCAGGACCACAAAGAGAGTACTTACACTTGTGTTGATGGATTTCTTAGATTAAAAAAATCTGAGAATTAAATTTTTTCAAACAAGTTTTCGTAATTGCCAGTATTTGTAGCCATTATTTTCTAGTTTATATATGAATAACATAACATTATTCATGAAAGCATTATCATTATTACAAACTATTAAAAATATTTTTAGCTGAGATATAATGATGTCTTTTAACATCATACATGGAATAAGACTATTAGGGATGGGTAGACCAAGGATGGAAAAATTAAATTCCCTACTCTTGTTAAAAATAGTCAGCTTTGCTTTGCCTTCTACCACATTAATGTCAAAGACAAAATAGTTAGCACAAACATCATTATTGTTGTTGTTTTTTCTGTTGCAAATTCTTTCAGTTATAAAGTTTGGTGTAAAATTCAAGTTATTTATGGCAATTAAATCATCTATGTACTGAAAAGTATATAAGTAGGGATTTGACACAAGTTTACCGACATAGTCATAAAATAGTAGTTCAATAAAATTCTGAATGTAAGTCTAGAAATGTGATGACATGCCTTTTGACCTGTAATGACAGGGTTAACATCAGTGTTTGGATGGATTTTGTCTGGTAAATGGGATATTTCCAATGCATTTTGAAGCTATTGCCATTGGTATTATCCATTATGAATACAAGGTGACAACTAGGATTGACAATGGAGTCTTTACTAAAATCTACTTAATACTTATTTTATATTAAGTTCATTATTGTTTTATAGTGCAAATTTTAATCACTTATTGAAAATTAATGTAATTAATAGTATTGAAGCTATTTATTTCATTATATACAGACACACACACATATATATAAAGGAAATTATGCTCGGAAACCAAGAATAATTCCCCGACTTTTGGCATTTTCTCTTTGACTTTTCAATATTTTTCCCTGACTGTATACACAAAGTCACAGCATCGTCCATCACATACTGCTTGTCAACCTGGACCTACTGTTTTGACAGCTGTTACTGATACTCTTGCTTACTTTGCTACTTGGCAAGATGTGGGTTGGCTGACATTTACTAAACCACTGGCTGAAACATACAACTCTCCTGTCTTAGATGCATGGTAAAGTACAGAAAGCACCTTTGCTAGTGCCCAACTAATCCACAAGCAAAGCTGACACTCTGGTCTTCTTCTCCTGGATCAGGTTCAAATGGAGGCATCAGCCATGACAGCATCATGTGTCTCATAAGTAAACCTAGTGGTGGTATATATCCTGTGGATGAGCTTGCATAATCCTGCTCACACACTGGAGACCAGTGCATTCACCTCACATTTCCATTCAGTGGAGGTGGCTGGTTGTTAACTCCCTTAACCTTACAAACTGGGTGTAGCCCAATGTTGTGAAAGTATTTCAGTTGCACCCTCTGTCTGTGAAACTGCCATTAAAGTGCTGCTGCAGGTTGCTATCTGATGGCTAGTTTGGAGTGATTACTTTAAAGTGCTGCTGCAGGTTGCTATCTGATGGCTAGTTTGGAGTGATTACTTTAAAGTGCTGCTGCAGGTTGCTATCTGATGGCTAGTTTGAAGTGATTACTTTAAAGCATGTTGCACTTCTTCTATGAAAGTGAGGACTGTAATAAAAATGTCAATCAATAAGAAATTATTTAATAACAACTTTGCTCTATTAATACAAAGAGTTTCTTTGATCCTAAGATTATCTTCACTGTTAAAGCCACACAATACACTGAAGTTTTCACCCAGTGTTCCGTCTTGACAATCACTGTCTAGATATCTGTAAATATTTCAATTGTTATTGGCTGAAGTTGATTGTATATGTTCTTTAATACATTGTTCCAAGCAGAGAGTTATAGAACCTATGTATTCTTGAACACAGCAAGAATAAACAAAATTATAAACAACATAAAGAGTGTTGAAATTTGCCAATCAAAGCCTCAAACTTACAAAGTACTCTATTTGTAGCGTATATTTTACGATCACTTCTACAGATATCTGGGGATAATTTAAATAATTTAAATTAACAATGTCTTTGATCTTATTTTACAGTTCACAACTGCTCATACCCATGTTTGACAGACTAAGATATAACAAGCATTTAAATACATCATAACAACACATTTTAAAACTGGTGTTAACTTAAATCTGAAACTTTTTGATCAAGGACAAATGAAAATCAGGAATTAATTACAAATCAAAAAATAACTTACAATTACTTTCTTCTTCAACAGTAAACTTTTTAATAGAAGGTTATTTATTCAGACAAATAAATATGACTGGTAAGACTAATACAAACTATTTAACACATACGCTGCTACTTACCACTGGTATACAATGTGTGACACCATCTCCAGAATCAATCACAAGACCAGTAAGTGTTCTCTCTCCAACTTGTCTTGATGTCCAAGAGGCAGCTAAGGCCAACACTGCCTTGAAAATTAAACATTTCTTAGTTATGTACCACTGATAATACTCAAAATTTTAAATTTTTTTACTTAAGAGTATATTATAATACTATTCCTAACATTCTTGAACAATTATTTATACACAGAATTAACATCTTAACAACACAAGAAAAGATAGTTGTAAAAGACAAAAACAATCCTCAATTTTTGCTTACCAAGTGAGTCACTGATACATAAATCAATAGTTCTAAAGCTATCAAATACATTAATAGTAAACAGGCATTTTTTTTTAAGGGTAACTGCCTTCCGACAACTGGTTGCAGACAGCAAAAGACAGTAGGAGTTAAGCTGTTGTGGGTTCAAGCACTCAACTTTTTACCCTCAACTTATTTCCCTTAGCTGCTGGGTAGTTTGACATATGGATTTTGTCTGATAGGTGGAATATCCTCAACACGATTTAGGTGCTATGGCTATAAACATTATCTGTTACGAGTTTTAATGATGATAGAAGGACCAGTAATGAAAAATTAATTTTGATTTTTCAGTCTCTTTGTAAGGTTTTTTTAAGTGTTTCAAAAAGATCATATTATCAATACACTTTAGTTATGAACTGCTGAAATTATTTTGAATGAGTCATGCATCTATGAAAATAGTTTAAAATAGTAATTGCAACATTATTTTATAAGGACATATGCCAACAGTTTGCCTCAAAGAAATAGAAAATAAAAAATTAGTGTGATGTTTAGTATGTATTTGTTGCTATGTCATCATGTTCAACAGCCACAAATACAAACAGTCTTAAAATACAAGATGAATGCATTTAGTCAAGGACATATGGTAAAACTTTTAATGTTTGTTTTTAAGCACAAAGTTATATAATGGGTTATCTGTGCTCTGCTTACTACAGGGATCTAAACCAAATTCTTAATGTTATAAAACCTCAGATATAAAATTGTTTGGTTCTAGTTTTAAACGATATAAATGACTAGGCTCACTTCATAAAAAAAATTTCTACTTAGACATATATAGTGCTATTTAAATAACTAGTAATTACTAATTGTAGTATTCATACTTCACCGAATAAAATTTAGAAAATTGAACATTTTCTAAAAAAAGGACTTTTTTTCTGGGAAGTACTGCATGGAAAGTGTTTGGATTGTTCTCTTTAGTCATAAGCAATTCATTGCATCAAAATGATTTAACGTACAGAGCTCAAAATTTTTATAAATTTTATTGATATAAACTGTAATGTTTTTATAAATTAAAAGTGGTACCATTTATTGAAAAACAACAGTTTACTAACTCCAGTTTCTCAGTACTACATTTAAAAATTATATCAATAAAGATACAATCAAACCCTCACGTAAAGTTGTGTTCTTGTTGAGAGGAGAGTATTTTTATTTAAAATTGTTTTCTATCATAAAGAAATGATTGTTTCACATACAACAGTTATTTTTCTAATTGTCTAAACCTTGAATAACCAAAGTGTGAAATGTTTTATAGATTTTTGTTTGTGGTGCAATTAAATAGATGGCACAGGAGTTTTGGTTACATACATAGATACTGACATACATGCTACATCAATTATAGTACGATGAAAACAAAACATTTATTTTCATGTATACAACAGGCTACATTTATTGTACATTAGTTAGCACATACATATTACTTTCAACACGTCCATACTACATTAACAAAATATATTATTGCAAGATTTATTGCATAATAAATGGATAATAAGCCTTAAAAAAATATCAGCTGATAACTATCAATGCAAGAAGTTTTGTTCTAGTAACTGAAAGTATCCTAATATTAGATTGTTCAAAATAAGTACAGATTAAAGAAAAACAAAGATAACTGCATGTTTCACAAATATTTATTACTACTGTGGTTCCATCAAAATTTGACAATGCTTTTATGGGTGAAACTGTGGCAGTAGTAAATGAAATATTCTTGAAATGTACAATTGTCTTTGTTTTCTCAATACTGTTAAGAAGTTACTAGTTCTGCCAGTTTCAAATATTAATTATTTAAAAGTAAATCTTTAAAATGAACAGTACATTACAAATATTATGTATAAAACAAGGTGCTTCCTAACAGCATTGTCCAATAATGTTGATAATGAGATTAAAATGTGAATTTTTCTTTTGTATTCAAAGACAGTTTTAGCATGTTTAACACACTCACTACGAGCTTGGTCAAATCAGCCAAGTTCATGACCCCAAATTCACTTTTATAGTCTGAAAACTATATCTTCTAATATCAATATATATTCTATGACCATTTTGTGCATAGACTTCATCAAATAAGTAATGACATTCAACAGTTCAAAATGCACAATAATTTACTATGCAAAGTTAAATGTAAAATATATAATTAAAAACTCTACATGTTCCGGTGGAAAAAATTCCACCATCTTCTGGAGATCAGAAAAAACACAGGAAGATTGTGGAACTTTTTCCATCGAAACATGTAAAGTGTTTAATTGTATATTTTACTTTTCACTTTATACAATAAATTATTATGCATTTTTAACCACTGAATGTTCTTACTTATTTTACGATCTTCTAATATGTTTTGTGTATCTTCACAAAATTTTGCAAGCTTTCAGTGAGCATCAAGTCTTTTGTATACATAAAAAAACATCACAATTTTTAATGAAGTATTTTCACTAAAAATTTTTGTGAATATATGGAATCAATGTGTTGCCTGCTCCGAGAGAAAAGTGATTTATGTTATTAAAAGTACTTTTCCTTATCTGATAATTGTCAAATTTCATATGTATAATCTCTAAAACCTTCTAAATAACTTTCAAACATTTTTTTAGTAAAACTTATTTTTTGCACCCTAACTTCATATGAGGTCAATCCAATTCACTGACCTCATAACCACCAAAAAAATATGAAATTAATATAGACTATCCCCTTTTTAAAATATGACTTCAAATTGTAGCAAGAAACTACATTTGTTTAAATAATAGATAACACACAATGTTAAAACAGGTACACAATTAAAAACATTTCAAGCAAGGTCAATCTATGACCACTAAAAAGTTCACTATATATTTCGATGTTGCAACATCATCTTCAGGAGCGAGTTGCAAGACATAATCGTGGCTTTGTTTGTTTGTTAAATAGGTCATGGCTTTCCTAAGATATCTGAGAATATACATTTGCAACTGCATGAAAAATAATGACACTGGGAGATGCAAAGATAGCACAGCAAAAAGAAATCTAGGGAAATAGTATCTTACGAGTATTAAAACATCATAATACTGTCTATTATAATGTTTTTTTACATGCTATGGCTCATCATGGCAGTTTCTGTAACACTTAACTTTTCATCATGTTTTTTAGCATTTATATTTTAATATTCTCAATGTAAAGGCAGTATATATCACAGAAACTGTGTGTACTAAACTGGACGTAGTTCATTAATCACAGGTTTTGGAGTTTAAGTAAAGATGTTTAAAAACTTAAGAAAAAAAAAAAAACTCACAGCATGAAATTGTTTGGAAAATAGTTTCATCTACATGAGTTATGTACCAACCAAACTAAATTGGTTTAAAAGGCTCCTGACACAATGCAGTCTTTTGACTACAGATATAACTGATAAAAGAAATTGAGTACAAACACTGTACAGTCCACCTCTGGCAGTTGGATGAAAGTGTGGAGTATACAGTGTATAGCTTGCAAAAGTTTTGTGTACATTTACAGCAGCCGCAGTCAATAAATTAACATTCATGATCTGGAAAAACTAAAGTAGGTTTGTACACCACAGTACTTTTATATGACAAAGCACATCCATGAAAAATCCCTGTATTGTTACTGGTTAAGACAAGTGTTACCACACTTTATAAATGTTACCTTTCAATAAAATTTCATGTATAACTGCTTCTAATTAGCAAATTATGACTCAGTATAAAAAGCTATCTCACTTCTAAGAACTTATGGGTGAAAGCAAAGAAGAATATGTTATAAACTTTAAACCACACTACGTCTGTCATATCCAATGCCAATGATGCTTTTCACCCAATACCAGGGCTCATCAGGACAGCCAGAATACAACAAACATAGTAGTAGTCTAGGTGTTATTCAGATAATTTTTCATGAACAACTGTTACAGTATGAACTAGATTAACTAAGTGAACTGTAATTATTTTCAATTTCACTTAAGTAATTTGCAAGTCAGATTTTTAGGGGAAGGATTAATTACACGATACTAATCTTTATTAAACATTACTGGTAACACTAAGTGATATTTTCAACAATGAGTAGTTAAATTTGTTTAAAGGCAGTCAGTGTCCAGTGGCCCATCACAGCATTAACACCTCTTTCTAAAATCAAATAATAAACTAATTTAGAAATTTGATAGAATACAATTTGCCAAAATTTCTATATTATTTTCATTTTATACATACCTGAACAGCTATGTAAAGACCTGGAACATTGAAAGATTCAAACATTATTTCTGCAGTGTATTCTCTGTTTTCTGGAGTGTTCAGAGGAGGCTCTGTCTAAAGTAAGGTAAAATTATTTTGATAATAAATAATAATTCATTAAACTTACCTATTAAGTTTTGAATAATAAAATTTCTGAACATACAATGCATAAAAGCATAACTGAAATTAAGATAAAAATGTGTTGTGTAAATCGTTTTAACACTCTTCTTTCATTGAGGGATTCTTGTAAATGATACAGGAAAAATAAGACCAAGTCTAGTCCATGTAATTATAACAAATTATTTTCTTCCTTAAAGTTTCTTTACAGGCTGGTACACTTTATAACTTGTACGCCTAAAAAAATATACTTACTTGTACAACTTCACAACTGATTGATCAAATAACTGAAAGCAAGACACTGAGAAAAACCATCTTTGCCTGATTAACTATCTATGCTTCACTGATTCACTATGCAAGCTAACTACTATTTGACTAGTTCACCCATATTTATAATCTAACTCTTGTTTTAGATATTTCACAAAGTCTCTCATGCAATATACTCCTGAATACTCAAGGATAAACTTGATCTGAATTACATGTTTAAAAACAGCATCTATATCATAAGCATATATAAACTAAAATGTTTAATTATTTTAACAGCAGTTTTACTGCCATTAATTATCCCATTTATTTTCCAATAAGCAAAACTGTAAGGTGACTTAGAAATAGATATTTTTTATATTGTTTAACACTTTCAGTATGGGCTCGGTCAATCTGACTGACCACACCACCTTTCTGTACTCATTTAAAGTATTTACATATTTAATACTTATAACCCTAAATATAGTGGGTATATCTTCGTAAAATTTGGCAGTTTTTCAGTTAATATTACAAGTCTTTCTCATACAAAAAGTTATATTTCTTAGTAAGTATTTTTAATAAAATAGAATAAAGATTTGGCCATGAATATATTGAGTATTTGTTACGAATAGTCCGTATGAAAAATAATTTGTTAAGATCAAAAATACTTTTCCTCGTCTCAAGAGTCTCAAATTTCCTTTGCGTAATCCCTGATACCTCCTAAATACATTTCAAACATTTTTTTCCAGTAAAACATTATATTTCATCTGTTATTTTCTCTACCCTAACTAAAAATGGGATTGCTCCATTTGACCAACCTCATAACAAAACAAAAACTAAATTATCCTTTTTTTCTTTCTAGAATGACTTCAAATTGTAACATGAAACTACATTTGTTTATCCTAAGTAGCTTCAAACTTGTAACAGTATACCTCTATTTTTAATTACATTTTATTGTTTTATTGCCCTTTGAACCAATTAACTTACATAATTATGTGCTGCTTGCATGAGTGCCTTGTGAAACATTTTTTTATTATATTATTTATTTTACCTAATCTTAACTAACCTAAAAAGATCCCCATTTTTACATTTTAGTTACTTTTGTAATAATGAATAAACATGAAAAACAAGAAATAAGTTACTTCCCCAATCTTCTTTTTCTTGCTGTTGATTTTCAATTATACTTAAGCCTACAAATTTTATACTAATGGTGGTAGTTCATGAAATAATTGTTATTTAATTAAATAATGCACCAAAGAACATAGATTAATAACTTGCAAAAAGCAGACAATTTCGCCCAAGCCTTAAAATTTTTCTGTCTTTCTAACTATACGACAAGAGCCATTACAAATACATCCCAAGCTAGTTGTTAACTTTCCCGAGGGAATGAAGTTTGTGTTCTGAACAGATAAGAGTCAATTTCACTCAGAGTACAATGTTATACAATACATCATTTGATAGATGAAAACCTTGACTTTCTGGTTAAAGGTTATATATAATTAAACACATGTGAGAACTATTAATGAAGCCTGAAAGAAAGGATGATACAGGTGGGTGTGATTTTCTATTTATAGCTCTGTAACCAAACAAAATTGAAGGCTATAAAAATTATGGTTCATTTGAGCAGTAATGATTTTATAGAGATTAATTTATGTTTAATTTCATACTTTTTCAAGGGGTGGTAGATAAATTAAAGAAGGCAAGGTGCCTAGAGAAATATGTCACAAGTGTCACACTAAGGGAAGTTCAGGATTTTTTAAATATTTCCTTATAGAAATAGGAACTTAAAAATTAGACACTAAGTGTTTATGTCATATTAATTGGTATAACAAACAAAAATTAGTTTAATAAAATGTTGAATGTAAGACACTAAAACTTTCTGTCAGGTGTAGTAAAAGGTACCTGGAGTGAAAGGGTTAAGTAATTTTTACTAAAGACTTGTCTGTGAATTTAAAAAGCCTTTACTGAGTCAGAGTGAAAGGTGATTTTCATACTAAGAATAAAAACACTTCTTTATATCTTATAGTTTCATTCCATTTGAATAATTTGTAATACCTTCTAATTAAATATCAAAATTTATTTCCAGTAAAACTTTATACCTTATATCTTATTTTCTCTACTCTAACACTAATTGTGGCAAAACCATCAATGTATATGAAATGAAAAGTTGGAAAATGTGAAATAAAAACTATTCTATCCACATGCTTTGTCAAGAAATCACAAGTAATTACAGATTTCTTAAGTTTATCATCCACATCTTTCTCTGACCCTTTTGTTTTCCTTCTCTTCAATAGTTTCTCATCTGCACAAACCAAGGGCTGAAATCTGTTGCTCAATAGAATATGTTCATTACAATTAAATCCAGTACTTTGAATCTGACCTTAGTACTCCTTCTAACTTCCTGTATGCTTAATTACACTTGATAATGCTTACATCAGCAATACTGAAAAATTGGCAAACAAAGAACTGTGGAGGCTTATTACAAGTAGCTTTACAGTATTAAAAATTTGAAAGTTTAATAATAACAGGTCAGAAAAGTGGTCATCTAAAAATTGTGTTATTTTAATTTTGAAGATTGTTTTTAATCAATACAAGTATTACAGTAAATTGTTTCATCAATTCTACTATCTGCATTTTTTAAAACTATGCATACTATAAAACAATAATAATAATAAAAAAAAAGACTACAAGAACCTGGAACTTTTATAAAAGAAATACAACCAGGCCCACTAAGGGGGTAGGGAAGTTGGGGATGCTTTCCTGGCCACCGCTGCCTACCAGAGGGCTAATAAGAAAAAAAAGTGTATGGAATGTATCAAATCAGCACGAAATGTTCAAGCAAACATTAATAGTGCTTTCAATCATTTATGCAAGTGTACAGAATTATTCCAAAAAACTACTGGAGGTGAGGGAGGGCACACTAATTCTTCCTCATAGTCCATGATGGTTCTCAGTAGCCCTGAATACAACCACAAAGACTGCAGATATGTTAAAATACTGAGAAAAATAGTTTATCCATTCTATTTTTCGTTTATATTCTATTATATGCCAGAACTTTTGTTTAGCACAGTGCCATGTCCATGATGGTTCTCAGTAGCCCTGAATACAACCACAAAGACTGCAGATATGTTAAAGTACTGAGAAAAATAGTTTATCCATTCCTTTGGTTATATACTATTATATGCCAGAACTTTTGTTTAGCACAGTGCCATGTCCATGATGGTTCTCAGTAGCCCTGAATACAACCACAAAGACTGCAGATATGTAAAGTACTGAGAAAAATAGTTTATCCATTCCTTTGGTTATATACTATTATACCCCAGTGCCATGTCTACCGCAAGGATTGAACCCTGATTTCTACATAACCATTTATCAAGGATAACTAAAAACACACAAAAAACAAGTAGATACAGAAGTTACAAGAATGTGAATTCCTTTTCTTTATGAGTATACTGATGAAACCAACTTAAATATTATGTATGGCACAGTCCTTACAGCCACAGTACACCAAGTATCAAATTCTGCTCTTACAAGTGATTTGCATCGAAAAATTCTTTCATGAAGCCTTATTTAATGCAAATGTAAAATAACACCTTTGATTCAATTCCAGAAGGTTCTGAAATTGAAATCTTGTCACTAACATACCAATGATTTGTTCCACTTGTGTTTTAAACATTATTATATTTTACTCCTTACATGGCATGGTAAAATTAAGAAAGACAACTTCAAACGTATTAAGATTACATGTGGCAATGTTCGAGGCCATTTTTGATCTTAGATAATTATATACATTAGAGAATTAACAAATCAAAAGATGAGAAAACTGGAAGTAGTCTACATTTTCAAATCATTCAACTTCGTGAAAACCTCTTCTATTTCATGCATAAGAGGAATGTATGATATGTAAGGATAATATATAATGTATTTAGTTTGCTCCCCCTCCCAATTGTTTTGTAGCTTTTACTTACTTTAACTGTTGAAATTTACTAACATGCATCCAACTTTCCATTAATGTATGATATGTAAGGATAATATATAATGTATTTAGTTTGCTCCACCCCCCCAATTGTTTTGTAGCTTTTACTTACTTTAACTGTTGAAATTTACTAACATGCATCCAACTGTCCATTAATGTATGATATGTAAGGATAATATATAATGTATTTAGTTTGCTCCCCCTCCCAATTGTTTTGTAGCTTTTACTTACTTTAACTGTTGAAATTTACTAACATGCATCCAACTTTCCATTAATGTATGATATGTACGGATAATATATAATTTATTTAGTTTGCTCCCCCCCCCAATTGTTTTGTAGCTTTTACTTACTTTAACTGTTGAAATTTACTAACATGCATCCAACTTTCCATTAATGTATGATATGTAGGATAGCATCTTTTTAAATGAATATTTTTGTATCTCTGTTTTTTGTATGCTTTGGTTTAGATCAAGTTAGAAGTACATGTATTTTAAATACATTCCAGTTTCTGTTCTTTACTACTAACAAATTTCTAAGATGTCCAAAATGTGAATGTCATAATTAATTTCAAAATAAAATTTGAATTTTTTAAAACAAGTGAAATGTTCTAAATCTAATGCACTGAAAAACTGACAAAAATGAATAGCACTCATGCTTCTACACTTACCTTGCTTTAGGTTTGAGCCAGCTTCATATAAAACAAGTCAGTTAATTATGAAAGCAATTGCACGCATTGTTAATATTTGGAAAAATCATCATGTGATCACTATTAAAAATGTAACTGCTTTGCACAATCAAAACCTCTAATTTTTTCCATAAACTTTTCTCTTGACTTACCAAAAGAAAATAATGATCTTCTGGTTCTGCACGCAAATATTTGAAAATGGACTGTTCCCAGAACCTCTCCATCAAATCCCAGTCTTCAACAATCCCATGACGAATTGGATACTAATGAAATGAGAAAATGTTTTACATTGTTGTATAATACAACTTAGCTCTTAATATTATCAGTACAAATAGGTGTATATTCTATTGCAAATGCTTATACCATAAAAGACATGGGCCAATAAAAGATTATTTGCAAATACTGACCCTATTTAGTTGTGCTATAACATAAAAGCTAATTTGGAAGGTCACTGAATGTAGCCCCACACTTAAATAAAAATTAAGCTACTACCATTACTAAACAGTGTTGTATCCCATTACATTATGTTTTGTACATATTTAATGTTCTGTTATTTGTTAAAGTTAACATTTTCCTTACATAAAAATGTATTTCCAAAAAATACTCACCTTTTACACAGAAAGCTATCTGCCTTAGAGACTTGCATGCCACTAGCCATTAGGCAACTCCCATCTAAATTCAAGAGATTCATTTGATTTGTGCTTCTGCATAATAACATTATTATGCAGCAAAAGTCCTCCACAAATAGGAGGGTGACTCAATCTCCTTGTGCACCAACTCCCTTTATGCTTTTGCACTCGTGACCATTCTTTGACAATGTACTGAAACTAATTTGCACCAGAAGTGGGGAAGAAGGTTGGGAATTGTGTTAAGAGGTGAGTATCTATTGGAAATACATTTTCAGGTAAGAAAAATATTAACTTATGAGATAATACACACCTCTCACACAGCAAACTAGAATCCCATATTGATATGGTGAAGAGATCTGAAGGTACCCCACGGAAAGTGATGCTTGTTGGCAGGGGCTCCACAGACCACATCTCATCTCTTCCATGGTATATTCTTCATCCAGACTGGAAGGGAGGAAGAGGCAAACAAGACCCATGTGTCATGGCTATGGGTGGAATAAGAACATGGCTTTCCGGGTACTTGCACATAAGAGGCCGGAAAGCCAGTATGTGTAATTATGGTTGGGGCATGTTTAGACAGTACCCAGTGCTCTCCTCGACTCTACTATCACATTTATTGACATCAGCTGTAGGAGAAGGGCACAGGATGTATTGTGTGCTGTTCTCAACTATATCATCAGACTCTTGGACCAACACTAGTTGCAGGAAGAGGGCACAGAATACATGCCATAAATTGTATAATGTTAAAATGTGCAATGACTCAAGAGAATAGTCATCCACTGCAGGAGGAGGGCACTATTTATTAGGAAGTGCTCATCTCAACTGAACTAAGAGGGATATGACTGCAAGTAGTTGGTGGATCAACAACAGTTCAAAACCAAGCAGCATCGTTATATGTCTTCCAGGCAAGGGAGACCCTTACCACTTATCAGTTCCTAGTTGCTGGGGTGGTGGACCTTGGAGAACCATCACTGATTGGCACTGAATAGCCAAGAGCTGAACAAATGGTGCCAATCAGTGGGAAGTGGGGCATTGGTGACATTATCAGTGTAATGTAGGTCACCCCTCATATAATTATATTCTTAACATGCCAGTGTCCCCCATCCTATTGCTGCCCAGATGTCACTTCCCAGGTGGTCTGGTGTTAGTTTAGTGTAGGTCCAGCCAACATAAGTCCTCACATGTGGTTGATAGTGATCCTCCTCCTACTGCAGTCTGGATGAAAAACTCCAGACACTGTCAGGTTTTGGACTGGAGATGACCAACTACATTTGCATTCACCCTTCTTGGTGTTGGATATGTATTGTATCTGCACATGTGCCCTGCCTGGTTTGTTGGAACTTCCCAGTCATGATTGTAGGGATTCTCCTCCTATCCACTCAAAGAAATAGTGAGGAATTTGCAATAGGGAGACCTGAAAAAAGTGCTTGGATCCTCATTAGATGCCTGTCAGAAGGGTCTTTTACTGGAGACAGTGCAACAGGTGACAGTGTAAACCTATTTTGAAAATCCAGCAAATGTCAGGCAGAGAAGCAGGTAAAGCACCTCCTGCTGCTGGCTTTTTTCATGGTAGTCAATGGAATAGGTACAGTCTGGATCAGACACAGACAGATATCAGAATATACCATGAGGATACTTCTAATGGTCTTGCAGAACATCATATCTCAATAGTGGGCATATATAAAGGCAGGGTGGATGGCACGAGTACTTTCCCTTATCCTAGCTCGATGCAGAATTAAGTGTACCCTTGGAGACACTACCAGCTATTTGGAAGATTCCATGAAGTGATGTTGTAAGAAACAAAAATGAGGAAGAATGTACTTACGTAGCATACTTACATATGACACATCTATAGTTTCATATGTATTATAAACTCAAATTTCCAATATTGGCAAGCTAGAATATAAAACAAGAACCTCCTACCTTTTGTATTTGCCAAGATATTATAATATTTATCAAATTAACCATATTGGCTCTGCCCACCACTTAATCATTTGAGAAGATTTGTCTATCTATGCCTAATTTTTAAAACCTACAAGTTTACAACCAATTGAAAGCTCTATATCTCCTGTACATAGTTCTGATAGTCTTTCTACGTTATTTATGAGAGAAAAGCTCTTATATTGTTGGAGAGTTTGAAGTATTATAATCAATGTTATTTTCCAAACAGAAATTACGAAGCCTGGTAAATTACAATAGATTTTTATATTACTGATATAGTCATTTATAACTTTTTGGTATTCAAAAATGCATATATAAAGTCGAAAAAAAATTATTTTTTTTTCTATATCCACATGTGAATTTGATTTGGACAATGCTTACAATGAGGGTTAGCAAGTACAACTCACAAGTGCAAAAAAGAGCTTAACTCCAAAACATAAGTAGTTGAGATCATTGTTTTCCAAATATATT